GCTTGAGCCAAGGAGTTCAAGACCAGCCTGGACAACATAGCAAGGCCTTGTTTCTACGGAAAAAAAAAAAAAAAAATTTAATTCGCCAGGCACAGTGGTGTGTGCTTATAATCTCAGCTAATTGGAAGGCTGAAGTGGGAGGATCGCTTGAGCTCAGGAGTTTAAGGCTGCAGTGAGCTATGATTGTACCACTGCACTCCAGCCTGGGCAACAGAGCAAGACCTTGTCTCTGAAACTAAATAAATAAATATCTTAAAATTTTAAAAAGTAGGCTGGGCACAGTGGCTCACGCCTGTAATCCCAGCACTTTTGGAGGCCGAGGCGGGGGTATCATTTGAGGTCAGGAGTTCAAGACCAGCCTGGCCAGCATGGTGAAACCCCATCTCCAATAAGTACAAAAAAAATTAGCTGGGCAGCATGGTGGCGCATCCCTGTAATCCCAGTTACTCGGGAGGCTGAGGCAGGAGAATCACTTGAACCCATTTGAACCCAGGAGGCAGAGGTTGCAGTGAGCTGAGATTGTGCCACTGCACTCAAGCCTGGGCAACAGAATGAAAGTCGGACACACACACACACACACACACACACACACACACACACACCCCATCCAGGGCTGGAAGAAGCTGAGAAAAAGACAAGGAACTAGGGACACAGCCACCCTAGACGGCCCCTACTCACCTTGACCCTGAAGGGGCAGCGGGTCTGGTCCACCAGCATGATATTCTCAGGCTTGAGATCAGCGTGGATGATCGCCAGCTCCTTGAGCCGGGCCAGGGCTCTGAGCACCTGCAGGGTGACTGTACGGATGTGGCGGGCAGGGAGGGGCGCGAAGTTGTTCTCCTTCTGGAACTCAAAAAGGTTTTGCTCCAGCAGCTCGAAGACCAGGTAGAACTTGAGGGCGTCGTGGAAGAACTCGAGGAAGCGGATGACGTGGGCTTCCTCAGGGTCCAGGCCTCGCATGCAGTGCAGCAGCTTCAGCTCGTTCTTGATGATGCGGTTGCGGTAGGCGTCGTTCTTGAGGATCTTGATGGCCACCATCTCGCCCGTCCTCCGCCGCCAGCCCTTGGCTACCTCCCCGAAGGTCCCCTTGCCCAAGACCTCGATGATGTCGTAGCAGTCGGTCTCCGACTGGATGGTAGCCATGGTGCCCCCGCTGCCAGACACCGCCCTGCCCAGGCCCCTGCGCCACTGGCTCTGCCGCCCAGGCCTCCCGCCTGGCCGCCGACACAGCAGGCCCCCCAGTGGGGGAAAGAGAACCGCACTCGTGCCTCCTCCTACGAGGTTGGCCCCTGCTTCCTTGGCACCCCCAAATCCCCAGGCCACACTGTCAGTCTGCCAGGGGCTGCGCCCCTCCCCAAAAGCCCTCCTGGCTTGGGATGAGGGGCCCCAGGCCCCACTGAATGGGTTCCAGCGCTGTTGAGTGGCTCTGGTTCTGTTGTTGGAGACCTGAGCCCTGGCTGGAGTGGGGGTGGGGTGCCAGGCTGGGCCCCCCCTCCCCCGCCCAGTCGTGGAATCTTGCAAAGACCAAACAGGTGAAGTGTTGACAGAGGGGAGTCTAATCGTGGGCCTTGGTCATACAGGAATGAGGATAAGGCAGGAGTGAGGAAAGGTGGGCTTCTTGAGCTTGGGAGATGTGATGTGTGGGTGTCTGTGTTCAGAAAACTCCTGTCCCAGCCTGTGACTGCTGTGGCATGAGGGATAAAAGGCCCTGAACGCCAGGCTAAGGAGTTTGGACTCTGTTCTGAGGGCACTGGGGAGCCACAGAGGGGCTTTGAGCAGGGGAGGACAGGGTCAGATATGAGTGTCAGAAAGTTACTGTATGAAAAAGGATAGGTTGGAGCGGGTAACAGTGGAAGCCCCAAGCCAGGGAAAGAGTCCAGGACAGGGCACGGATGGGAGAGGTCGGGGAGGGCAGGGCGAGGCCAGTGAATGAGACACTCCCAAGGCCAGAAGGAGCAGCCGTGAGACTGACAGGTTGGGGGAAAGGCGGGAGCTGTCTAAGACCAGGCCCAAGGCTCTGGCGTGCAGAGGCAGTCCCTGAGAAATGGACATGGATACGGAGCAGCTTGGGGGAGATGTTGAGGCCAAATTAGAAAATGTATTTATTTTTGGCTGGGTGCGGTGGGTCACACCTGTAATCCCAGCACTTTGGGAGGCTGAGGAGGGCGGATCATGAGGTCAGGAGATCGAGACCATCCTGGCTAACATGGTGAAACCCTGTCTCTACTAAAAATACTAAAAATTAGCCGGGTGTAGTGGT